ATAGTTAAACTCTCCTAGATTCTTTTCAGAATTTAGATTATTTAATAGATTTGATGTATATAAGACTAGTTAAAATTAGAGCATTAAGGTTAGTATCAGTGTCGAATACCTATAAAAGCAATTATTTTAGCTGATTATTTACCACTAAACACTAGTAAACGTACTGAAATGCAGCAAAAAATTAAGTAATACACTCAAAACATCATGATATTGACGTACAGAGAAAACAAGGACGGAAATTTACATATCTAGGAGCATTAGCTATCCAAAGCCCTTGGAAATGTTACAACTCTTACAAGACAAGTCTCTTTATTTCATGCAGTGAAAGCTGATGTGGTTACTTGTTCCCTGGTACCTTTTGGGCACTGAGTAATGATAGATAATACGTTATTGATAGGTGGCGCAAATGAAAACCTGAAAGAGGGAGAAACACTTCCCAGGCAGACCTTCTTTGGTCAGTTGCCATCGACATTTTCCTTGTTCTTTTGTTAGTGGATATATTTCCGTCCACATTTAAAGATCTTAGGATGTTTATCAATGTTTCATCAAGTGCTTTGCAATGTCACGAGGCTAAGTGAGGAAAAATAGTTAAACTGTCATGCTTTTATTTGCTTTTTTCTGCTCAAGCAGGGAATAAAAAAGGGACTTCACAGAGATTTATAAAAATCTGAATATGTTAGCGGAATTGTCAAATGCCAAATAAAACCTTTAAGAGCATTACGGCGGATATAGAATAGGTAAGTGTTGAGTAACACCAAGCTACCGTTTTTACATATACACATCAAATTAGTGTTTATCATCAGCCAATATTCGAAAACTATTGCTCATTGCAAAGCATTGACGTTTTCAGGTTTTAGAACTCTGGGAAATGCTCAAAGAATTTCAAACCATTAAGTATAAAAGCATTTACAATTTTGCATGTAGCTTCCTTTGTTCACAGCCAAATATTGGATGTAAGGAAATTTAGCCTCCCTATAATTGGACACTGGCCTCCTAAGGAGACTCAAAAAGTCTGTTTAGTTTAATGATGCTACAGGTATTCGAAGTCTGACAACACCTTTATCGGTATCACTTTTACGATCGAAGTATGCTAACCCAGTCTAGTCAGCAGTCAGGAATGAAGGAGTTCGAAGATATATTTGGAAGGCTATCGGTATGTCGAGGGAACGTTTGGCCTAAGATGGCTGGTAGTTGAAAGTGATGCGTAGCCCGGTGTACCCACTTTTGATCTGGTGCGGATGCATGAACGAGCGCCTCAGCTAGGTGAGTCCATCAAGACCAATGGGTCAGCATCAAATGCCGAAGACTTACGGAGCTGTTTATTTTGGGATTTATTTGTCGTTACAGATCAATATAACCGTGAAGTTCAAGCATGAATAGAGACTACATACAATAAGTCTATTACTCTTGTAATACGGACGGGTGTATGAGTTTCCTACAAACGTTAAACTACTTGAAGACGTTTGGTCAACATTCGCGCAGTCACTTTTCTCCATTTTTGAGAATGAGACAGATCAAAACTTTACAAACTTAGGACTAGGTGTTTGTTATATGACTGTAAAATTTTCGATGAAATTACTTACTTACGCCTGTTACTCCTCGTGAAGGAGCATAGGCCGCTCACCAGCATTCTTCATCCAACCCTGTCCTGGGCAATCCTTTCTAGCTCCTTCCAGTTGTAATTCATCCTTTTCATACCTGCTTTTATTATCCGACGTAATGTGTTCTTTGGCCTTCCTCTTTTCCGCTTCCCTTCAGGATCCCAAGTTAGGGCTTGCCTCGTGATGCAGTTTGACGATTTGCGTAATGTATGTCCTATCCATTTCCATCATCTTTTCCTAATTTCTTCTTCAGCTGGAAGTTGGTTTGTTCTCTCCCACAAAAGGCTGTTGCTGATGGTATCCGGTCAATGGATGTTGAGTATCTTGCGTAGACAGCTATTTATAAATACTTGTACATTTTTGATTGTGGTTGTTGTAGTTCTCCAAGTTTCAGCCCCATACAGTAGAACTGTCTTGACGTTCGTATTGAAGATTCTCACTTGGATATTGGTTGAAAGTTGTTTTGAGTTCCATATGTTGTAGGAATGTGACCCTTGCTTTGCCAATCCTCGCCTTTACTTCTGCATCTGAGCCTCCTTGTTCATCGATGATGCTTCCCAGGTATGTGAAGGACTCTACATCTTCCAGAGTTTCGCCATCAAGAGTGATTGGATCGCTGTTTTCCGCTTTGAATTTGAGGACCTTGGTTTTCCATTTGTTTATGCTGAGGCCTACTGATGCAGAGACTGCTGCTACACTGGCTGTCTTTATCCTCATCTGTTCGTGTATATTGGATAAGAGGGCTAGGTCATCTGCGAAGTCCAAATCGTCTAATTGGTTCTGAGCTCTCCATTGTATGCCGTGTTTTTCCTCAGATGTCGAGGTCTTCATAATCCAGTCGACCACCAGAAGAAAGAGGAAGGCAGAGAGTAGACGGCCTTGTCTGACTCCGGTCCTTACTTGGAATGCATCTGTCAGCTGTCCTCCATGCACGACTTTGCACTGTAGTCTGTCGTATGAGTTCCGGATAATATTGACAATCTTCTCAGGAACTCCGTAGTGTCGAAGAAGTTTCCATAATGTCCTCCTATCTACACTGTCGAATGCCTTTTCATAATCAATGAAGTTGATGTACAGTGACGAGTTCCACTTAACTGATTGTTCGACGATGATCCGTAGTGTTGCAATTTGGTCTGTGCACGACCGATCCTTACGGAATCCAGCTTCTTGATCTCGAAGTTGGGCGTCTACTGCATCTTTCATCCGGTTCAGCAAAACTCTGTTGAAGACTTTTCCTGGTACCGACAGTAGTGTAATGCCTTTGTAGTTTTCACATTTGCTCAGATCTCCTTTCTTTGGAATCTTGATGAGGTGTCCTTCTTTCCAGTCCATCGGCACTTGGTCCTCCTCCCAAATCTTTCTGAATATAAGGTGAAGCATGTTTGTAGTTACTTCGATGTCTGGCTTCAGTTCTTCAGCTGGTATGTTGTCAGGTCCTTTCGCTTTCCCCCTCTTGACTTGTCTGACGGCCATTCTGATTTCTTCCGTCGTTGGTGGATTGACATCTATAGGGAGATCTGTGTGTGCTGCTTCGATGTCTGGTGGATTCACTGGAGCCGGCCTATTCAGGAGTTCCTCGAAATACTCTACCCTTCTGTTCCGCTGTTGTTGAATTTCAGTGATTGGCTTGCCTTCTTTGTCCCTGACCGGTCTCTCTGGTTTACTGTATTCCCCTGATAGTTTCTTCGTTGTATCGTAAAGCTGTTTCATATTTCCTTCCCTGCCAGCTTTTTCCGCCGTCGTTGCTAGTTCTTCCACGTATAGCTTCTTGTCGGCTCTAATGCTCCTCTTCACTTGCTTGTTTGCTTCTGTGTATTCAGCTTGTGCTTGGACTTTCTCTGCTCGTGTTCGGCTGTTGTTAATTTCTGTCTTCTTGTTCTTCCTTTCTTTGATCCTGTCCAGTATTTCTATAGAGATCCATTCCTTATGATGGTGCTTCTTTAGACCCAGAACCTCTTGACACGTTGAAGTTAATGCTTCTTTGATGCTTTTCCAGTTGTCCTCCATAGTAGTTTCTTGTTCCTTCTGATTCTGGATCCGTGAGATTCCCATCCTACAAGTGCATTTCGTGCTACTTTGGACAGCATCAAAGCAACTCCCTGAGTGTGTGGAGCGTTTTCCTCTTCGTGACCGAGGTATAGCAGCATCTCTCCCGTGGCTAGCCTTTTCTGTCCAGCTTGGGTCCAATGGGTTTCGCTGATTCCCAGTACTGCCAAGTTGTATCTCTTCATTTCCGTTGCTATTTGACTGGTCTTCCCGGTCTCCCACATTGTTCGGACGTTCCATGTACCTATAAAAATTTTTGCTCTTGTTGGTAGAATGGGTATCGGCCTCGTGGCTTCCGAAGGAACTCGCCTTCCACCATGAGGCGTTATAGTTCTTCTAACTTTCAGGGAAGAGTTTAAATGGCTTGAATATTTTTTTCTGGTTAGCGTATTTTTAGCGAGTTAGTTTTCTACGGGATGGGGTCGCTAACCCCATGTCCAACCCTCCTTCTTTACCCGGGCTTGGGACCGGCAGTAACTCTCGAGGAGCGGAGTTTCCAATGGATTTATTACCGAGTAAATCACTGTCTGATATGGCTCCTCCGATAGACGTACTTGAAGGAATGTTAGATTGTCCGAGAGCCATCAAACTTTAGGATCTACACAAGCATTAAACCCTAGTCTCTACCACACTAAAAGTGACTAGGGCTGAGTCGAAGGAATTCTCGTTAAACATCGTGCGTGCGGAATCTGGTATTGTAAAGGATTTTTTATACAGATCTGATGAAGCGTTAAGTTTAACGAGTACCCCCGAATACAAATGTGATTTGTTAAATGATTATGGTTGCAGTTCACTCGATGTCGGGTTTCAGCTTCACCATCATCAGCAAGATACTGCTTCTGATCAAAATATCAGGAGTCTGAAATAAGTAAGGATTTCCAACAATAACCATTTGGTTTTCCATCCTTACAATCAAAGACCGAACTACTTATAAAATAAATTATTTTCATAAGGCGCGCCCACGAAAGAAATGATTACTTAAACAAAAATAAAGTTATTATTATCCTGTCGTAATAAAAAATTATTCACTACCTTATTTCATACAACTAAGCCATACTGTTTGTTATTATGATGGGGTGTAGGAAACTAGAGTCTTGACCTACATATTTCCGAAATCAGCTGCGTTAACGTCACAGCGACGTCTTGATCGCAATCGAACTACACATTGTGGACTTTAGTCCCGTCAACGTCTTCGCGAAAAAGTGCTAATATTTTGAATAAAACCAATCTTTGGGTAAGAAAAAGTACTCAAGCTAGGAGTTCGACTGGAATATATGCAGACAGAACCATAGTTTCACTTTACAAGCACAGCTGATTTCACTGATCTGAATTTTCACAACCAAAGATTGAAGGATGTCGTCTCCTAGTCCAGGAAAGAAAAGAATGGACACAGATGTTGTCAAATTGTATGTTATTATCAGATAATTAGTTAAATCCACATTTAGAATCGAGAGTAAGTACGAAGTGACAATACTAGGTGGTTTAAACGAGCTTATGGTAAAATTCTTTGGACCTCCAGAAAGTTGTTCATTTTATGCCTAACCTTTACTGCTTAGCTCCATACGAGGGTGGGATTTGGAAGGTTCGTGTTGATCTTCCCGAACGATATCCTTTCAAATCTCCCTCAATTGGTAAGTAGTAATATGTGTTTATTCGAAATTACAGGATTCATGAACAAAATATTCCACCCGAATATTGATGAAGCGTAAGTTGTTTTACTAGAAAATTGTATTGTCCATCAGGTCTGGTACAGTTTGTCTTGATGTCATAAACCAACAATGGTCTGCTCTTTATGGTAATTTAGATCATGTTCTGTATTTTAGACTTAACCAATATTTTTGAGTCTTTCTTGCCACAGCTTTTAGCATATCCAAATCCTACAGATCCACTTAATAGCGATGCTGCTTCTTTGTTTATGTTCAAACCCTCAGAGTATGTCACAAAAGTAAAAGGTTAGTTGTTCTGATTCATGCTTAAAATTCGGTTGTTATTCATGTCTTCTTATTTTGGTATAATGTTTGGCCAAGCGCATTGTTTTGGATACGGTAGAACGTCTCAAAATAGTCCAGGAGCACTAAAATCTGTGCCTAGGTCAAATGGGTTTATAATTTTACTATTTTTAGTAGAGTAGTAACTTTTCACAGAATTCACCATCCCTCCATTTTTAAGTTACCCATGGGTTAGTCATATGCATTGCATTTCCCTAAGAATATACAGCTCGACTTCCAGTATATTTATGGTATATGCTGTGTACATTTGCTTAGAAGGTAGCTTTAATTTGTAATGGAAATATAGTAGTAAATCTAAAATTCTGAACTGACATTCACATAATGTATTAAATATAAGTACGTGATAGGGAAAATGGTTTAAGTTTGTTCAGCTGGAAGCACACCTAGTTTTACGTATTTCTTATTTTCGATGTCTATAGTTGTTGTAAAACACGTCGTTCTACTTCAAGACTATGGTTTATTTATACTGGATATTGTGGGTCGTTTTGATAAGTGATTGCTCTGTCTACCAATACTTAAAATCTTTTGTGACAAAAGCCATCTTCGGCAGAATTATTTTAAACGGCTTAAAAATAGGCATCTTGTATACTTTCCTACAATAAACCAGACATCGGTTGTTAGGACTAAACGAGAAGTGTGTGCATAAACGGCCGAGTGTTTCGATACATTTCTGCTGCTAGAGTATGTCAACTATCTTATTTAATAGTATGTAATAATTTCTTCGAATGATTATCCCGGAATTTCGGCTTATCAATATATCGGTGGGCAAGCTGATAATTTTGCAACGACCAGCTGAGAGAGTTCATTGTGCATGAAAAACACAAGTTGACCAATATTTTTCAGATAACTGCTTAGTTGTTGTTCTTGTTAATATATAGCGATATCTTAATGATATGCAGCGTAAAAACCATTAGATAACCATAAAGTTTTTCAATACATCGTAATCTTCATTTCTCTTCGCGGATATACATACTTCAGTTCACAAAATTTGTAAATTCAGTTTATTATGGTACCTTTTATTAATTAGCCTTGTTTGTTATGTAAACCGATACCCGCTTAATTTTTTTGTTGAAAAGAACGTGTTTTGGTATGCGTAATGTTAAGTTACTGTAGATCCTCTAGTTTTTCTTGATCATCCTTTCTCAATGTAGTAGGCAACTCAACCAGATTAACCGTAAACGAACTTTCATCACAAAAAGCCAATATTTTTTACTATCTGCTAACTTGTGGTTCAAAGGAAATATTGTACTGTATGTGAAAGAAGTAACAATAATTCTCTGTCTAATACTTTGCATCTGTGAGGACAGTTAGGGGCAGAGGGCAGACATACATCGTAGTGCCTGACAGAAATATACATAAGCTCGAATTCTATATATTTTGTTTCAGGAAGGTGAAAAGAAATGTATTGAAAAACAATGAAGATAGTCAATAAGTTCTTGAACGACTCCTCACTAACGATTTTTACGTGTTTTTGCTCTTTCATGTGGTTCATAAGGTCTTTAATGTACATAAGCTTTTTCTTGCACCATCAATTCACCTTAAAGACTGTATGTGAGAGATTTCTCTCGGAGTTAGAATTTAACATGTCGAATCACGTAATTTTTTCTTTGGATCCTAAAACCATCTCCCATAGTTTTATGTGAACTATGATTCGTCTACTGAGTTCTAAATCTCTAGCTATCTGTTGTAAACTCCGATTGACAGGCATTGATTTCAATATCTCACTCTTTCATTATGAATGAGTTGCCGAAACAAAATTGAAAAAAGATCTGTGTATTGTATAAATTTACCACTTAATTTAGTGATACTCATTTAACAAATAGTTTCACGAAATGTTAGCTTCATCATCTTAAAAATTCTTCCCTGTTAGAAGCACTTAAAAGATATATGTATTAATCTTTGAAAAGTCAAACATACATAAATTTACTTTCATAAATAATTCTATGACTAAGAAAAAAGAGAGTACTATCTATTTTGCAGCAATTCGCTGTATCAGTTCTAGATGCAACTCGTTAACGTATTTATTTATTTGAACACAAACACTGGTACAAGGAGGCACCAAATATATATGTACTACACAAGTCACTTGATTTGTGTGTGGGCTGTGGTACTGCCTGGGTGCCCAAACCGAAGCAGGTGGTTTTCTCAGGGAGACACTCTTAGCCTTCGATCGAAAGGTCTGATCCATAAGACGGTGGAGCAACGTCAGGAGATGCAGTCCCATGGTAGCTGGTGACCAACGATTGGTTCATACGCCATTCGTTGCTTCAGGATACTGGAGCCCATGTGCACTATTGGTTTGCAATCAGGGTTTTCTAGCTCCCCTAGGTGGATCCTCCATATCCACCAACTTGGTTAAAGCGCCGGACGTTCGCTTTTCATCCTCTCAATTTCGTAAACAACACCCCCACCACGCGAAGGCAGTGAGTAGGACTTCCCTGGAAGTGGCTGTATATGCATGGCCATGTGAGAGCATCTGCAGAGGGAGAGCTGACTCTCCCCACCATCGACCGTACCAGGGCATTTGGGGGCAACTCTTTAGCGATGTAATTTTTAACTTTACTAGACATTAAAATAACATCCTTAGTCACAAATATGCACTAATTGAAGTACTTATACCCATGTATATATTAGGATATTAAGACTTATAAGTCTGATCACTTCATCTTTTATGAGACTGCATGCTGTTAGGTTCCATTAGTTTAGTTTTCTCTAAAACAAGTCAAATATTATCTAACAATCTGTTATTCCAATTAGTTTGTAGTTGCTAAGATAGAATTGTCTTTTTTTGTAAACTGATCGATCAGCCTGACCAACTTGAGAACACCAACTTCTACATTAGTACTCCATAATCTGAGCAAGTCCGACTATCAGTATTGAGCCATTAATCTCTAATACGGTTAAAAACAATTCTAGCATAATTTGTTGCTTTTTCAGATGATAGGTACTTTACGACCTCACGTTTCTCTTTGTGTTTATTCATGTGTTATGAGTCTCTACTTTTCTAGGTGACATTATATTCTGATCCTCATCAAATTCATCCGACCTTGTCGTTTTTTGACAAAAAATAACTAAAACGAAGTAAGAATGACAATATCTGCAGAATACGATCAATTCATTCTATATCATTGCTCTGTAGCCACCTAAAAGCTAGTGTGTTTAATTATTTTCAGTTATTAATATTATATTAGAAATAAACTGTCGATAAGTTGTATATAATGTGAAAGAAATTATGAATCAAAGTTGTAAAAAGCATGTTCTTTTTGTAATTACTTGAGGCAATAGTTCTAGTGTTAGGATAATTTTATTATGTAATAAAACAAGATTTTGAAGGTTCAAGAGGTCAAAAAGGGTATGTGAGTGCAATTCACTAAATTATGATTACAATCTATCGTATTCTACAAATATTTTCGTCCTTGCTTTGTTTAAACTTGTGAAGTAAATCAATTGCCTAAAAAGCTTTATTCATTCAATGTCTTGAATTTCTTCCTAAATTCAACCTTTGCAACCGTTAATTTATTACTATTTCAAAGATAAACGACTCTTTCTATCATCCGTATATGTCAACTTGGTAGTCATAGTTAATCATTAAAATATACTTTGGATAAGTTTGTCGTGCTGTAAAGGATTTCTTCTAATCAATATTAGTTTTTATTGACAATGTTGAAGAAATAAGTAACAAGCATACTGAGTCCTGAAATACTTCCTACTTTGCAAAGTACCACTACATAATGAACCAAGTTATCACTTGGCTCTCGTTCTAGGGTAATTTCGTTTGATGACAATAAACTTCACTGTAACGAACAGATTCCAACATTTAAATATTTTCTGGCAAATAGTCAAATAGGTTGGTCTGTAGACAGTCATCATCATGGCTTTAATTTTAAAGCAAAACCAGAATTCAACAATAATTTCGCATAAGCTTTCCAGTAAATGTTTCAGACTAATAAGTTGATACCGTAAATCTTTTGTTAATACATCCACTACTCATATGTTATATATTTCAAGTACATAAATTCTGGTACAGTAGGGGACCAGAAAATACGCAACACAAGTGAAGCGTAGTACGATCAATAAAGAAATAAACTGAAATAAAATTTAACAAGCAGTGTGGTTAAGTGGATGATATGACTTGGAAAACGTTTCACCTAAAGAGAACCATCTCCGTTATGAAAAGCGTAATTAGAAAAACAATGTGTCACAAACTGATCACCACTTTGCTCTCTCCACCCAGTCTCTGCTGTGGAAATAATCCGCAATATGGAAGCGACTGAAATGTATCTTAAAACATGACCAAGTCATCGAGGTCGGTGTTTCAAGATGGCGAACTACAGTTTGTACAGCTAGGAATTGTCAATAAAACCCTACTTGAAAAGCGTGCCTTCAAATTGAGTCATTGAACCTGTACTTAGTTGAAGAAGTTATGTTATTTGTTATTGTATAAAGGTACGGCATGATCATAACAGTGGAAGTTTTATAAAAATATTTGATTGGTCTTCGACAATGTTACTGGTAGCTATTTTCTAATAATCGATCATGATGTATATTGATTGACCTAGTTTCAGTTGTACTTTTAGTTTCATCTCATTCTTTTCGTTAAAGTCAATGTTTTGAAGGTTATTAGTCGAAAAAAGGCTTAAATATGGAGACTTTTAACAAAATTCTATTGAGTGCATGGAAAGGATGTATATTTAAATGAACAATTCAAAATATCGTTTAGTCTGTTGCAAATATGTATATTTTTCAAATCCCTTTTAATTATAAGTCATATAAAGAGGGTGACTAATATCCTTTTGTTTCCATTTGTCATCATTTTGCGTACTAGTATATATTTATTTGTGTAGTGTTTTGAATATATAAACTAAATATTACCTGACACAGTTGCGATACTTCAAAGCAATCTAACTGACAAAGGTTGGCAAGAAGGGAAAAATAATGATATTACTGATACCTTTAATGCCAATAAAAACTGAGAAAATCAGTGAAATAAAGTAAAAAGCAATTAGATGTAAAGTAATCGGTGATTGACTTTTGAACATGGACCTCTCTTACGGCTATTAGTTTCAAATCAATAATCAGTAGTACATCGTCAATTTCAATTGTTCCACAGACTCTACAATTGCATACTATCACATTTTCTGGTGTATTTTACTCATGGATTCGCTAGTTTTCATGCATCCATATAAAATCTGTAAATGTATCGTATATTTTCTAAATGGATTTTATTGTTCATTTCAAATTCGAGGCCACAACTTTCGTATGATAAATTGACGTTTAATTTTCAGTGTTTCTTCTTGGTACTCATATAATTTACATTTCATATTTCATATGATCTCATCTACATCTGTTTGCGTTCAGTTTTTCTCATTCATAAATCTGAATAAAGAAAAGAGTCCAAATGTTAATAACGAATACCATTACTTCTAGGTTGTGAGAAGTTGAAAAAAACCAAACAATAAATAAATACATTAGTTTCATTTACACACCAGTGTTCTGTGTTTTTCTTATTTTCTTTCTCACATTTTAAAATAGAATATGTCCAACGTTTCGCAAGTGAAGAAGCTTTAAAAGCTGAAGAGAATAGAGAAGCTGAGTCTAGTTCCTCAGATGGTGAAAGCTCCATGTCAGACTACACGGATGATATGGCTAGAGATATGGAGCTATGATACTATCTTTTGTAGGAGTGGAAATGCACTAAGATTGGTCTATGCTCGCTACCGCTCTGCTTTCATGCCACAAATTATAATTTCAAAAGTAAAACAATAATTATCATTACTATTATTATTAGTTACTGCTATCACTTATTATTGTATTGGTAGTTTAAAAGATGACACTCTATCCTCTATTGGTTCCTCTTCGGACTTCTCTTAACCTTTGTTATTATTATTATTATTTTCTTGTCAATCTTTGCGTGGTTAGTGTTCAATGTTTGTTGATAACTGATTGATTGGTCACTAAACTAGTGAACAACAACTTCGTGGTCTCTCATATTCTACACTATCGTATATATATATACATATGTATATATATATATATATATATATATCGTCGTTTTTGTACACAAGTTTTCACTTTTCACGGGTTGAAACAGTATTTTTTGACCCTTTCATTTCTTTTTGCTCTCTCTTTTTAATAATTTCTTAAAATAATAAAGAACCTCATTCATCTATAGTACACAAAACTATTTTTGCAATCAAATTAATAAAAAAAACACAATTATTGTTATTATCCACACGTATGTTGCGATTCTTATGTAATAGTACAGTTTCCGTTTTTAGACAATCACATATTACAGTATACTATATTCTTAATTAACATTACTGAGGATAAGAAGTTTGTGTGTGTTAGAGTGGGGTAGATTGAATGTTTTCTTTCTCCCCTTTTTCTCCTAATGAATAAAAGCTGAATCATTTTCACTATTCCAATTCTTCAACATTGATACATTAGTAGAATTGTGTTTAAGCGGCATTTTTACATATGCACGCGTGCTCCCTACCATATTCGTCACTCTTTCATTTCCAATCTTTATGATTTAATGGAGTTCCAGTAAATATATATACATATACATTTGTGTTGTCTAGTTTAGTATTTTAGTGCTCTTTCTGGTCGTTTAGTCTCTGTGTAGTTTATGAACATAGGATTTGATCTTCTATATATGTGTACAAGAAAAGGGCGTGTGTATGTATGTAGAGCGCTTTATTATCTTTGATACTAATTACACCACTGAAATTAATCTAATTTCTCTTCTGGCAGTTCGCCTTTCCTTTTTTATTATAAAACTATTCTTTGGAGATAAAATCTATCCATTATATTCTAAGTGAATTTCATCACAGGTTATAATGAAAATAGATTTATACCTGTTGTGTTTTTCTTTTTCAATTGCTCACATACTAAGTACTCCTTAATTTTAATTTTGTTTGTTTGAATAAAAAAAGAGAAATGCATAAATAAAATCTTATTTCGTGTTGAAGTTTTGTGAATGATATCTTCTCCAGTATTTTTAAGAACAAAAAAAATTGTTAAATTACCAGTTACGTGTTCTCACTCTTCATAAGTGTTCAATTTACATTATTTCAGTTACTTTATGAACTATTTAAGTTTTCGTTTTTTAAATAACTATTTAACCTTTTATTACATAAGAGCAAATTATTTACAGTAAATACAATAACATGTAAGAGGAAAATAGAATATATTTCAAGTTGTGTTAAAAAGTTTTGACCATCCTCTGAGGATATATTATTTCATTTGTGTGGGATTTGATGGATTAATCGTTGATACTCCCTTATATATCTGTGTGTGTGTGATATGGTAATAATATCTATTTATTTACAGCGATCATACTTGTACTTGTTTCTTATTTTTTCGTTAATCTTACATTTACACACACGTAAAAAGATATAAACTTGTGAACACATCTATATTGCTACTATTATTTTGTACATATATTGCCAATTATATCATTAATGGTGGCCAATAATTTGTAGTTTGAAACAGCTCATTTTGCATATTTGGACATGTTACAAATTTGTTGAATATAAAAATATATTGTTCAAGCAAATATCTTAATGAGCAATTAAATTAAATTGTATCACTGTTCTCTTACTCTTTTCTTTTTTATGCATCCTATATTGGATGATGATTATATTTGGTAAACAGGAAGAAAGGCAACTTTTGATTTTTTCATTATTAAAACTAATGATATTCATTATTACTATTGTTTAGTTCTTATTATATTAATAACTAATTGCTCTAGGTCCATGTATTCCAAACATTAAATTACTAAATCTCATCAAAGCTTATCAAAAAAAAACAATTACAGATAAATAATAGGTCAGATTTTCAGTTAAATGGAGGGTAGTTTGATCAGTAGACGAAGAAAAATGATGGACTTGGAATATTCAGTTATTTAATTTCCAACTATATGACCCTGAATCGATCGCCTCGTCCCAACTTCAGTTTAGGAAGCTGGATACTATCACTGAGCATTAAATGAAAAATGTCTGGCTTAATATTGAGTAAATGAATCTGTATTTGACAAGTGGATTATATCATTATTCATTATCAACTACACTAAATAATGTGTCACGAACTAAACCAAGTAACCAGCAAGTTTTAAGTTTCCTAGGGTTTGTATCCTATGAATCAATTCAGTTCTTAACAGAATTTTTAATTTATTGTAAATCCCAGGTTCAAATCATGGATATTTCAGTAGTTGTAAATATGAGAAAATATTATACATTGCAATAAAAATACAAAGTCTACCAGGTTTTATATTTATAATCAAATGGAAGTCGACCTTACTGAACTATCAGTCAAGTGATTGAGATTTCGGAAATTGACAAAATACCGATATTACTAAGCTATAATGGGAATTCCATGAAATGGTTTGGAGACCAACGAATAACTAGTAAAAGTTTTGTTTTGAGTATATAAACAAAATATATTAACTCAATTTTACCCATGTAGAGTGACGTAATCGGTTATGTACATAAATCACTTCTGAGTACTTTGTATTTTGAATCGCATTGTCTTGCGAGACCCTACTATTGGAAAACAGTTGACCTGATTGTAACAGGTGGTTTTCCTTAAGGATGTTGATTTAATGGTGTATTGCGTAACTTGCTACTGCATATTTTCTTCAATGTCCCATATCTTTGATCCAAAATTATGGTACGATCAAATCGAGATGCGTTAACAAACGACTGTGTCAATTAAGGACATTGATATAGTGTGCAGCTTACTAAGTGCTTGGAGCACATCATTTAGTGGTTATACTGGTTTTAGACCTTAGTTAGAAATACAAAAATCCCCGTACTGTAAATTAGAAGTAAACATATAAGCAAACAATATTGTTTTCAATTAGATTATCAAGTTTCACTCTAGTATGCAGTAATATATGCTTTTATAGAAAACATTAAGTTACTCATGGGAGTTTATGGATTAATGACATCAACGAAATATATCTCATAGCTAAACATAATAAGTATAAAGTACAGATTGATAGTGAGAGCACTATTTGTGATAATAATGATAAAGGCTCTAATTGGTGTTTTATAATAGTAAGTTTGGAAAAAACATGGATAAATAAGCGTTGAAATAAAACATTAAAAAACTTGGAATCATATAGCAAGAATTGTTCAAATAATCATACACTGAAGAATGTGTACGGAAAAATGGTAAAGAAAGACGAACAAAGTATGTAGTAAATAATAAGTAAGATCGTTCATCAAACCTAATTCAACCAATGAGCAAAAAAAGGTATTACAAATTTCTTAGGAATAAGAAAATCCTAGGTTGTTAACTAGAACTACCATAGCTTATGTTATGTGTAGGAGACGAGATCGCACCCTACATAAAAACAGAAGGTACATGGTAAATAACTCGGAATGATTTGTTTCTAATACATAATCGCCACCGGCCAAGTGTAGTAGGAGAGCTGCGTTCTGTTTTGTCACTCCTTTTCCCATTCACGAATGGAGGTGCTTACTAACTTGATTGAATTTTATGGTTGTACCACTGAATTAGCTTCCGCCACAGGGGCCTTACCCATTTGTATCTACGGAAAAAATCATGTTAGTGCTACTGCGACTAATTTTAAACCCACCAGCATAGAATCAGTCACCTGTTACCTTAGTTTCAGACTACAAAATGTCTTGCAAAAGTATTATTTTGACAAGCACTTTATAATTGTAAACATTGTGTCTAATGTTCTCGAAATAACATTGGTGAAAAATCGATTACATTGGTTCAAATATATCCTCTACTTATGTAATATTGTACACGGAATATTCAAGGTAGTGGTTGTGTCATTACTCATTATTAACGAATTAGGGTAACAATAAATGTCAACATAGACATATTGTGTAATCTCATTAATTATTTAAATACTTTCAAATTTCGGTCATATCAATAAAGGTCTTTGTTTATGCACACGGTTGATTTTAATGAATGAACTGTGGGCCGATTTAGCATTAAGAGAATGGAACTTTAATCCTTTATCAACTGAAGTATTCAACTATTTAGCCAAATTAATCTTCATTGTTCAATTTGTTTAAATGATTAGATTAATTGGGTGAATAAGACTCATAATGGACTCAATTCAGACTATATAGATCCTAACTATTATCAAACAGGGTTTGGAGATTTGAAGTGAAATAGTGGGATACTTAATTTGTCCTGAGCTTTGTGATAATTAATGGTTATCAATCAGAACAGTCTACAAACATGGAAAAACACTGTCTCCGACATTTGAGTGAGGATTCATCATAGCCACCGTTGTAAATATTATTCTTAATTTGCCAATAACTTTTATGTATAATAAAGATGAGTACTTGAATTGATTACTGTAGGCTAAATTATGAAGTTTACCAACAGAATAGAATCTAGGGTTTAAGCTAATCACAGAAAAGCAATTATTTATTGTAAAATACATCCTTTCAAAAACAGTTTATAACAAAATCCAGTTATAGTAAACTAATCATAATATACTATCATTCTTTTGGAGTTTCAAACAAAGTTCGTATGTCTAAAAATGTTATATTTCACTATAAAAACTGAAGTTTCATATTTACCATTACGGAGCTGAAAAAAAAGAGGAGTGCATTTTGGCTTCAATGATACGCTCATGATGAAAAGTACGAAAATATATGGGCTAGCTCATTGTCAA